AACAACCCATCCACCAAGACCTCCTACCGATGCAGACTTTGTCATTCTTTACTCTACGACATGTGTCCTGGCTTATGATTGTGTGGAAATGCGAACTGATTATGTGGGTTGTGAACAAATTGTATAAGAATATCCCGAAGAATTACAGAAAGTTGAAATATATAAAACTGACACAAACCTGTTTTATCTATATATAATCCAGGAAGCTTTTTTGTTTCAATTCCAAAGATATGCTAGATATCAGTAGCAGTCAGAAGTGAGAAAATATGTTGTTGGTGTTTTTCGATTGAAAACCATTTTTTGGACCCATCTCCTGAAAAGCAGCTTTAAATCATGTAAGCCTACCTCTTAGCCTATGCTGCTACAACTCTACTTTACCCAATGCGCGGGCTTTTCCATGTTGTCTTTGTCCGTGCCCCGTACTCCTTTGTGCTTTTCACCCACTTTCCTCTGCTCATTCCATCCACAACCAAAAAAACAAACAACCTACCACACCTGTGCTGTCCTCCACCTTCCCCCCCCATCCTTCCTCTCTGGTTATGACCTCAGCGAAGAGGTGGGCTCCCCCTTGTCGTAAGTACAGCAGCGCTCCTTTTCTGTCCCGCCTCTCCTCGCATTTGTCTTATAATTTAAAAACAGCTTGTGCATTGCTCCTTGTGTCCCCTTAACTAATATCCCTGAACTATTATAATATTAATATAATTAGAATTAATATAATAATAAATAATACTGTGGAAAATGTTGACAAATACCACAGCATCTTATTGTCCATTTTGAAGTGTTTTTTCTTGTGTCCGAGTATGATGTCATGTTCAAACTCACTAACCAGGAGTTCATTTTCCTATCTAGAAGTACTTATAGGTACTTTGGTGAAAGTGTGAGAGTGTGAGATGAGTTCAGGTTTTCTTTTGAAGCAGCCAGTATCATCACAGCTTCGGGAACCTGATGGGAGTTCATGGCATGGGAATGTTCTGAGTATCAAATCTCAAGTTTTTGAAACATGTCTGCTAGACCGGTACCGACTCACTTTTCTAACACTCATTGAAGAATACCAAAAAAGGCACTATCCAGTCTTGTTGCTTTGTAATCTCGGTTCAATATCTACTGTTCACAGTTATCTTAAACGTGAAGTTTATGGCAACAAGAAGCAACAATGCAATTATTGATCTAAGAGTAATAACAGCCCATAATGTAATACAATCTGGTTTAATAAAGCTATTAATAACAAAAAGGTGTAGAATAGCCAACATTGGGCCCATGTACAGTATAGAGGATCCGGGTTCGAATCCAGCTCAGGTCCATCTGCCGCATGTCATTTCCTCTGTCTCCCCATTTCAACTCTGTCTCTACAATAAAGGCACTGGTTGCCCAAAAAAAATAATAGCAGACATTATTTGGAAGTCACCAATCGAAGTAGCACACATTTTAATAATCAGGATTTTTATTTGACTACTACAACATTCTAGCTTGGTAATTGTATTATTTGAATAGAAATAACAATGTAAGGTATCAAGTTGTCGGCCATTAGTGTTGGGAAATAATGGCTCCAAATGGCTCTTAAATTTGATAAATTATTTAGCCATTTAGAAAAATACACCTGAGGCAAGACACCTAAAACATTAATGGACATTTAATTAAGTCGAGTTGACTTGTGCTTTCCATTTTTAGCCTCAACTTCAATACATTCAAAGGCAATACTTGTATGATTTTTAAAATAGCTTAAGTTGCTTCTGACTTAATAAAAAACACGTTAAAAACAAGTATTAATAGTATTTTTCCTTTTGTTATTTTAGATATAATGCTTATACTGTATCTGTTATGCATTGACTAAAGTTAAATGTTAAATATACTTTATATATATATATATATATTAAAGATACTTTTACTTGTAACATACGGTTATTGCTACTTTTCTCTAACAATAAGATTTGAGTACTCAATTCACCACTGCCAAAAACCAACAAAACAAAAACATAAAGTTCATTTCATTTCAAACCTTTATTTAATCAGATTGGTCCCATTAAGATCATAGATCTATTTTTCAAGGGAGACCTGCAGCATATAGGTTCCACATGAAACATAAAACAATAAAGGACATCATACATTATATTTACAGGACAAAAAAAGTAATATCAACTCTTCAGTTGTAGATGATCTTACATCCTGGGCATTTAGTACTTTATGATCATCTAACATATTAGTTGGCTTTAAATACAGTTCACACTACTCAGAGCTCTAACAGTACTGTGTGTCCTGCAGTGGATCTCTGCCCATCAAGGACCCCGTGGTAGACTGTGCATCTCCAGTTTACCAGGCAGTGATCAGGCCATTAGGAGATACGAACGATAGTATGTCTGAATGGGCTCGTCGTGCTGCCAATCTGCAGTCCAAGAGCTTCAGGATGCTGGCCCACATCACTGGAACTGAATACCGTCAGTACACAAACTTCTTCTTTCCTCCTTTTGTCTTTTCCTACCTTCTCTTTTAATATTTTTGGAACTCTCCACAATTTTTGTTCGGACTCTGATATCCTCTCATTACTGCTTATTGTCTCGTTAGGTTTTTCTTTGACCTTACCAAATGTTTATTTTCCATGCAGTGCAAGACCCAGATGAGGAGGCCCTGGCGAAGTCGAGGTAAGAACGACACGCCATGTAGCCTGCAGAGAATCCAGGAAGTTACTGGTCACTGACAAAAACAGCTTTAGATTATTTTTGACGTTTTGAGAAGCTAATCTTTACACCAAGCTAACCAGCTGCTGGCAGTAGCTTCATATTAAGTGTACAAACTAAATAGTGCTATCACATTTCTCCTCTAACTAAATAGCAAACTATTCCTTTAAAATTGTAAATGCTTTCCCCACCAGAGAGAAGTTTGAGTCAGAGGTGAAAGGTCCCCGCTTTGCCAAGCTGAAGAACTGGCACCAAGGACTGTCTTCACAGATCCTCAACGTCCAGGAGTAAAGAGGAGGGGAAAGAAGAGGAGGACATGTAAAGGAAGAAATGGACAAAAGCACAGGAGTAAAAAGGAAAAGGGGTTAAGTTATGGAAGGATAAAAAAAGGAACAGGAGGAGGAGGAAACTCTTCAGGAATGTGAGATAGTGTTGTAGCCTAGACTAGTATGTGAGATACTAACTGAGTGTGAGAATGCTATGTGTTCATAAGCTCAATATTACCTGTCAAATGTATCCGTCCGCTGCTAAACCTGATTTCGATTTGGGTTTTTCTTTCTCTCTTTTTTTCAGTTTGTTTTAGTTCTGTCTCTCTTAAATCAAAGGGAAATTGTACAAAAAATAATCAAATGAAAATGCAGAACTGATGTTTCTTTTAGTACATAAAAGGCATTCACAATCGTATGAGTTTTAACACTAAGCATGCTTGTGAGAAAGCAAAAGATGCACACATAGAGATTTACCTAAATGCACAAATACAGTATGTAAAAACGCACTCACAAATGTGCTTATATCAATGTGAATAAATGTTTTCTTAAAACCAAACGGTTGAGTGAACTGTTGTAAGATCACAAATGAGATGTTTGTTTGTAACTCGGAAGAAAAAAACTGGAGGGACGGTGAGCAACATTTCTAGTGCCCTTTGTTTTACAGAGTGTTTTGACATCTTTCAGGAAGAGCCTCTAATAGCTTTTAACAATATGTCGTTTTCTATTTATTAAATGGTGACAAAGGAGAGTAATGGTGGCAGGGTAAGAAGCCTGAGAGTTTTTAATAGTTTCCGTGATAGTGATTTAAAAATCTTCCTCTCTGGGAAATGTGTTTTCTTCATAAAGAAATAATATTTCAATGTTTTATTTCAATATACATTCCCTATAGTAATATGAAAAACTATTGCGATCAAGAGACAACACTGACATGTAGACATGGGATGAAATACAAATTGCATCTCCTCTCATGCAGTTTTTTGTTAACTTGAACTGTTTTATGACTAAATATACTCACTCATATCAATGAGAATCAGAATCAGGTTATTATTGGCAGGTAAACATATGTAGGACTCCTTAACATGGCAATTGTGCCATGGATTCTAATTTCACATGTTCCTCTTTTTGAAAATCCAAAACATGACATGTTTTACATTACACTATATGTTATTTAGCTGCAGCTTTTATCCAAAGCATCTTAGATATACCTCAATACAAAATGCTGAATTTTCATGCAAAAAGTTCTTCCAATAAAATCCAATAAAAAGGGGTGAGTCCTGCTCGTAACGCGTAGTATTTCGTTGCTGCATTGATATTGAGTCGTTTGGTCACATGATATCTAAGGTTTGAGCACGTCTAAAGACAACCATCAGTAAATCAAAATGCCGTGTCATGATGTATTTTATGTTACGGCCACCAGAGGGCAGTATGATTCTGTACGACAAGACGGAAACTATGAGACATCCTCCCTTCTGAAAATGGCACCGTTTCAAATATATCACGTTACTACGTTCTGAGACAGAATACAAAAATAAATATAGATGGAGCAGCTTTTTTTCTGTGGCCATGATGTGGCTTTGTTTGGTTACTATTTGGTTAAAAACTATTTAATTAAAATGAATAAAAATAGCTTCAAAACCATACATATAATTGCTGTTCTGCTGGGTTGGCATGTCTGGGATAAACGTGAAGAAAAGAAGGAAGAGGAAGAGAAGGAGGAGGAGGAGGAAGAGGAAGAGGAAGGGGAGAGTGGTGATTCATTCAGGTTGAGATGACAAAGCATTTTTGCTTTATCCTTATAAAAATGGAAATTGCTGCAGGTGATCTCCTTTTTTCTCTTAAATAAATGAAGTGGAATACAATAAAACAGCGATGTACATATTGGGTTACTTAATGTGAGAAATTTTCTTTGCGTCCTGTGCTGATGCTCTGATGGTTATGTAACAGTACACAGGCTACGCATCTATAGGTGTGTCCACAGAAATCTGCCAATCAAAAATATGCAAACAGCTAGCTGCACTGTGGCTGAGAATCACCAGGAGAAAGATGGATGACGGGTGGAGGTGTGGCTGAGGAGGGGGTTGCAGCATGACTTGAAAATGCTGCAGCATCCGGCCATCTCTCCTCCTCCTCCTCCTCCTCTCTCCATCTTGTTCATACCGGCTGTTTCCTCCCCCCTCTTCCTCTCAGTCTGCGTGTTGTAGCCCTGCTGTGCAGTCCTCTCAGCCCTCTGTTGTAGCACCAAAGGGAGGAGGAGCCACTGGCACACACACTCACACACACACACACACACACGCATACTCACAGACTCACACGCTCTCACATCATCTCTTTTGCACGCTCACTGTAAGCACCAACCAGGCCCGTTTGGAGCAGGCTAGCCCAGCCGTCTCGTCGCCCAAGATGGATGTACTAATGAAGGGGTTCTCCATGGCCAAGGAGGGGGTGGTGGCCGCCGCAGAGAAGACCAAAGCTGGCATGGAGGAGGCGGCAGCCAAGACCAAGGAAGGGGTCATGTATGTAGGTATGTACACATCCTGTCCGTGGAGCTGTATTAAAAAAGAAAAGTGGGTAAGTTTGGGGGAGATACGCTCCTTCTTTTTGGGGTGTGTGTGGTTGCACTGTTTGAGGTAGGCTCCCATGGGTGTCCATGTCTGGGACACTTGTGAGAAGCGACAGGAACAGAGGGAGGATGAGGAGGAGGAATAAAGGAGGGGATGGAGAGAGCACTGGAAGGATATTGCTGCAGGAGTGGTGCAGGGCAGAGGGTGGGGGTCTGGAAGAGTGAAGGATAGAGACACTGAGGAGGGAGAGATTCATTAAAAAATACAAAAATAGTACGTTTCAAATGTGGTTATTAGCTGGTGGAGGACTGGTTCTGTTTCTTTAGGGAATTCTGCAGGATTTTAAACCTTAAAGATTTTATTACATGTCACATTAAGTGGAGCAGCTTGCAGAGGGATGTCCTGTGAGAGACTGTTGAACTGCCTTTTATAATTTACAGAAAACAGTTGACCTACATTGAAAAGGGCTGACATTCTTTTTTTCACGTAAACTCACAAATATGTTTAGGATGAATGTAGACATTCAATATAAACATGCACGTATATGACGGCAGACGGAAATGTAAAATGAAAAAAATGCTTCACAGGCTTTATTCTTACACGGTGCTTGTCATGTTCTTTTAAATTAGCTCAGGCAGCAAATGCGTCACATCTCAAGGTTACCTCCAGTACCAGGCTTTTAGGCCGCCTGAGAGGGGAGGGGCGTTGTGTGAGTGGGAGGGGGGGTGAGGAGTCAGCCGGGTGGAAGTCTTCATCGTTGTCTGCAGTCCGTCCCTTCAAAATGAAAATGAAAGGCGATCTTGCAATAGTCAATGTACTGATTTAAAAAAGACAGGGTGGGACACAGGGAAGACAGAGCAATGATCACTTAAGCATTGCAGCAATATAACCCCCTTCATCCCCTCCACCCATGCTCATGTCGATGCAAGAACGTGTCGATGCGTTTGTGGCGTTGCAGCAGCAGGGTTTGCCTGCCAGTGTTAGCTGCTTTGATGACTAACCAGCTTCCTCCCCCCTGCAGCTTTTTCACCAACCCATCCCCATGGATAGATGGAGGGATGCAGGGGGAGAGACAGAGGGAGAAAGGATGGAGAGAAGAGGGAGGGGTGTTATGTCAGAAAAAGCTTCTAGTCTTGTGGCTCCTGTATGAACAGATGGAGGGGCAGAGAAAGAGACAGACTGTTGACATGTAGTGATGGGGCAGGAGAGATGACACTCACTGGAAAATGAAACCTGGATGTTTCAGAGATTGAAGGCTGGTGACAAGCCCAGGTAAAAGAGGGGGAGGGGGGACTGAGTGCTTGAGAGAAGAGAAGGAGAGGGGATGTGATCGCTGAAGTGAAGAGGGTCGATGGCGCCGATAAACCACTGTATCTGCCTGCAGCAGGGTGCATACGTCAGCATGTGAATGTGGGGACACAGTATCAAGGTCTGCACACCCACTTTCACAAACAGGCCAAACCTGGACAGAGAGCTGAGACGTGGCTGATACAATGCAATGATGTTCAAAGAATGGCTTTAGTCGAGAAGGACTGCTTTATAATAAAAAAGATTAAACAGCAGTGATGTTCCTGCATTTACATCCCCTACTATTATTATTTCATCATTCGTGGATTTTAAAGAAAAGGTTCTTATACATGTAAATGTGACAGTACATATAAAATAAAAATATATTAACACATTGTAGGATTTTAATTTAATCCAGGACATGTCTGAGCTTGTATCACATCAGGAGTGTCTAAGCACAAATCCTGCACTGGAAAAAAGGGCCAAAGCTATATTTATGCACATTATTTCATTATAGGAAAAGGCATTCATACACTCTAATCCGTGCAATCTTCATTTATTAAGGCAAACTATCCATCAGGGTTGTCATTTACTACCAGGATTATCTCAAACATGGATTTTTTATTCTGGTCACATGCTCAATTTGAGAATATTTTCTAGTGCTGCACTGATCAAACACATCTCGTTTGAACAGTCTGTTCTCTATAATGGCGCCTCATACAGATAATCACAGCGACACTCAGGTGGCTCCCTCTGTTGACTGGGAGAAAGAAGCTGTGTCATTGCTGTGTGTGTGTGTGTGTGTGTGTGTGTGTGTGTGTGTGTGTGTGTGTGTGTGTGTGTGTGTGTGTGTGTGTGTGGTCTAGCATTACTATACTTGTGGGGACCTAAATATGTTTCCACAGTCACATGTGGGGACTCGCCTCCCTGATGGGGACCAAATGGAGGGTCCCCATAAGGGGAATCATTAATTTTAGGGTACCCTTACCCTAAACCTAACCAAGTCTTCACCCTAAAATTAATGATTCCCCTTATGGGGACCCTCCATTTGGTCCCCATCAGGGAGGCGAGTCCCCACATGTGACTGTGGAAACATATTTAGGTCCCCANTGTATCGAACTGTTCTGATAAAAACGACTCGTTGCCTATCTTGCTTGTAAAGTCATGCTGTTTGTATTTTTACAACGTTATGTTCATGAGTTATTGATCCGCGAAATTGGAATCTGTCAATAACTCAGCTCAGAGTGACGTGCATGTCCCCTCGCTCTGAGTGTTCTCTTGAGGTGTCTTCACTTATGTGAAACC